GATGTTTTTTTAAATACTACATTTACTAATAAGATAATTCTGAAAGTGATTGCTAGTATCATAACTCATTAAAGTTATTTCAACATCCAGAGAATTTGAAAAAGCAAAGGCTACGTTTTGGTCAAACCCTGGTCATGCATTATCCAGTCCTGCAGGGCCTAGATTTTCGAAGCTCTCTTAGCGCTAAGATAGTCGGAAGTGCCATGCATTAACATTAACTTACGACTATCTTAGCGCTAAGAGAGCTTCGAAAATCTAGGCCCTGGAACAGAATAACTTACAAAAATCTCAGTTGACTTTTCATGTAACGGAATAAATATTGAAACATATATTTAACCCATATTTGATGTAATTCTTCTGATAAATCATCAGTTTTTTTAGGAGGTTATCAATATTTGAAGACTGAGCCAAAGCTAGTGTTTATTAAGATGATGGATTTTGACAAATTGTTCAAGGTTTGTTGATGGTTATTTGGAAAATGAGCTTCATATTAAATTGCACACTGGTTTGTAGGAGGTGAATGCTTCAGGACATTTTCATGTCTGTTTTCCTAAACCTTTGTTATGACTTTTGACAAATTTTGAATCAACTTTACTATAATTTTTATGACACCAGTAATAGCCGATAAGTATCACAGAAAAGGAAATAGATCAAAATCAGTGTTATGTCCTCTAGGGATATGGTCTCAGATCTAATAAAACAAAGATTATCATTGTTTAATTAAGAAGCAATAATGTCAATGTGTAATTGTATTGACAAAAAGCTTTGGACATAGGATATATTCTTTGCACCTTATTTACACTAGTAGTTAGCAGTTAAACGTCTCTGATGAAAAAACAATAGATCTACATTTGTATTTTGTGTAACATTCTATTTTAATGCTAGTTAATTGTTCGGATAACTGTGGATCCTCTGTTCCAAGATTTTGAATCACATGTTTCCTATTTCTGGAAGATGGCTCAGCTAGTGTACAGGTGCAGACTGTATCTTGGATCTTTTTTGTGTTCTGGTACTGTGACATACCTGTACATAAACGCTGGCAGTTCATGAAGTCCAGTATTGTGGAAGTTTGTATGTAAATTAGGATTCAACAACAAAGTACATATAGAAAAGTAAAATGGAAATGATTAAAAAAATGATTTCCTTATATTCAGTGTCAGTTTATCATTGTGTACAGATTTTGAAGAGAGAAACTTTACTGAGAATTGCTGCAGATCAGCTGTTGAATATTTGCTTCTGGGTATGTCCAGATCTAGATACATCCATGGAAACATACTGTTTACAAGCCCAATTACTTTTCCAGATTTCCAAATGTGATTGATTTGTTTACATAAATTATATACAGACAAATAAAGTGCATGAAGTAGTACACAGGATATATTTTCTGCTTTTTATTTACCATTCTCTTAATTCATTAAAAGATAGAAACCCATGTTTTCAGATTATTGAACTAAATTTGAACAACGCCAACGGATAAGTAAAGGCGCCACGCGCAGTGTTGATAATCTATTTATAGATACCAAAACGATCTGCAACATGAACATGTGGTTGTGTTCACGAGTTTTATAAAATTATAAACTCAAACAACAAAATTTCAGTTACCCTTCCCCTGCTAATATCTGTGACGGAGGTGAATTGCCAGATAGATTAATTGATTCGAAAGAAATTACGCTTCCTACAGTCTCAGCAGCTAGTCGAGACGATTTTTCATCGGGCATGTAACTCATTTTCACTCGCCAGTTGCAATCTGCCAGCTAATATATAATAAAAATCACATACGTATAACTTGCCTCTTTAAATAACATTCACAAACGACGGATACCAAAGTATCACAAGCAGAATTCATCAACAACGTTCGCAATCACGTAACGTTTCGGCGGCGGTGACGCCATTGTGATTTGTCAGTGGTTGTCCCCCCTAACGTCAAAAACGAAGTGGGCGGGGCTTATCGGCCGGGACTGGATCGGTCAATTCCAAGGTCATTCCGTTCTGCTATGTTTACATTATCAAGTTACAGTCCGTGTATTTTCAGTTTGGTGCTTCATAAATAAAATCGTTATTGGAACCTTATCTACTTGTTGTGTGATCCTTCTGCATTTCGCCAGTTTCGACATTCACTCTCTGTTAGGTCCTTGTGATATATTTTCACTAAACCTCGTCTCCGAGCTCTGGTATTTATTTTGTCACATTTTGTGACTGGTGGCAGCATCCATTTTATTTTTGTAGTTTGTCTACTAGTACTTATTGACTAGTCCATGGCCGTTCCGTTACAATATGAACAAATCTAGATGTTAAATTGTCTTTATTGTAAACCGACCGTTATCTTTAGATCTACGTGAACCACATAAACAAATGTTGCCTGTACCAAAATAAAAGTGCAATGTAAGTGTAGCGGGTATAGATTGCACGAGCACTTCCAATACTTATGTGATTGTACAAGAACAGTACTTGCATTTGGCTGCAGATGTGGCGTACAATCCCACTATACTCCCATAAACTTAGAAGGTAAGCACAGGCAATTCATGTCGGGGAAGTCGTGTGTTTAACAGAAGAAACACAACAAAAACATACGGTGCAGGTCAAAATATGGAACTGCATCGAACACCATTTTTCTTATGCGTTAAATTCCCAAATGTCATGAACATGTTTACAACGAAAGGCTTCGAAATTTTTATTGAGATTGAACTGTATAACCCTGATGAAACAACTGCAGAGCAAGAGTCGTACGACACCCTTTGAAATCTTCGTAGAGATCTTGCTGAAAGGGGACTGGGTGAATGAGCATTACTTTAGTAAATGATTTGTAACGCCATTTGATCAAGTCTGAGTACAAAAGTAGTATTGAAAACCACTCGTTCACGCCCGTCAATGACCTGCTCACAATGACCAGTGCCTTTGCTATGTACAATAGCAGCACCAACCAATCCAACTCGTGATTTTACACATGTGGTTGCACCTCAAAGGGATTCCACAGTCCCTTCTGAGGATAGAGTATTGTTAATGCATGGCTTTTCACCATTTGGACTATTGCTATATCTTGTTGCTTTATTGCCTATGACTAAAGGTGTGGCGATTGGGCATGCTCTGCAGTGACCTGCCATGGGTGTTATGTGTGTACTGGTGTGTTTGTATGGAAAGGCCTTGTGAAATCTGCATGGGATAGCATGCAAGAACTCGAAGCCATATTGGGCTTCTCGCATTTCAGAGCTTTTAAAGTTGAACAGATTTACTGACCATTTGGATTTGACAGCAACAATGTCTGAACAAATGTCGTCTGCGTCTTGTCGCCTTCATGACCACGAGGTGGCGCTGTACACGGACTTCTTCAAGAAGGCGGACACTAACAGTGACGATTGTCTGTCATTTCAAGAACTCGAAGCCTTGTGTCAACAGCTCGGATTTAAACTCAGTAGGAAGGAAGTAAAGGTTAGTAGTACCTGTTGGACATCTGAGGATTTGGAGAACCCGTGTATACGCTGGTTTCAGTCTAATTTATTTTTACACATAAATGTGTATTATTCGTTTTACTTTGATGACATATTCACTGCCACACAAAAACATCGTGTTAGTCTCCATTTACCACATGGCCCCGGTATCAAATATGTAGACAGATGTATACAGAGTTGCATCCCTTGAGCACGAGGAGCCATTGATTGTTGGTTGAATCAATGATTCGTACTGAGTTTGATCAGCCTGCGATCTACGTCAGTTTTCTCCCTTTAACATACCATGAAATAACATAGATTTTTGGAAAAGAGCGGTGGATCACTGACTCACTCTCACGTCGAAATTAAATGCATATACTGTATTTTCACAATCAATCAATAATCAATAATCTTACTATATACTGTACGTTATGGGTACATGGCGATGATTTATGATGATATAACATTGTTTTAAGGTTGTAAGGAAGGTTGTTGAAAAATGTCAAATCTCCAAATCCACAAGTGCAGAAATTCAGCAACAAGGACTCGTCACCCTGTCGTGAACTTTCCTGGAGGCGGAGTTGGTCGCCATGAATCTTCAATGATAGAACCAAGAGACAAATGTCGATATCAATAGGCCTTACAAACTATTTCTTTCACACAATGGCATGCAGCATGATACTCTACCTGCCTGATGAACCAGTTGGCAAGGCATGAACATCACGTGATGTTCCGTTTCCATCCTGCTTTGTCGTAATTGGCGCGGTAATTGTATGTCCGTCCAGACTGAGGTTATATAGGCCTAGTTACTAATAACTCTATAAAACTGTTTAAAGTGTTACAAGGATAACTTGGCGTGGCATCGTGTGTTCAGTAATGAAAATATAGGAACCAGGCTTAGTCCTCAAGTTCCATATATTTCTTCAATTGCAACTTGCCAACAAACCGTTCCCCCAAATGAGGATAGTTTAGCACAGCAATGTTCATGTTGGGACACTCGGCTGCTGTTGTGCCACGATAAGTAAGTATTGAACAATCGCATTAGTAAGTATTGAACAATCGCATTAAAATATTAAAGAATTCCTGCCATGAAACTGATCCTTGTTTTTCATAGTTGTAATGTATATGTGCCATTGAATATGTGACATTTTGAAAACATGTACACCTTGACGTATATCTGATGATGACGCTTGTTTATGAAGGCTAGGTTTCTCCAGGCACTGAGTAATATCACGTGATAAGGAGGCAGATGAAGCAGGTGAAAGGGAAGTCAATTAACTATTGTCATGGGAAACGTACAAATCATGCCATTAGATAATCGGTTTCTTTATCTTAGCATAGATCACGACAGAACATTTGTCATTTATATGTAGAGGTGCAGTTAATGGTGCTTTACCTGTTTCCTTGTATATAGCTTCCATCTAATCCCTGAATTAGGACAGGGGAATATGATGTAGTATTATCTGGCCACGACCTACCGCGGACGTGAAAGGGTTACTGGGGCCTTGAATGTTGAACTGACATTGCATTGACTTCATGTTCCAGAAGCTATTCCGGGCTCTGGATGTGGATGGGAACAAGGTTATTTCCCTGGAGGAGTTCCTCAACAGGATGCCCAACATCAGCAACGGGAAAAGGACGTAGGTCAACCTTTCTTGTTTGACTGTCACTAGTTCCGCCGAGTGAGTGGGGTGCCAGACTTAGCGACATAAGATTGCTTTAACCACTAGACTACCCCACATCCCCTCAGAGTGAGTAGGGTGCCAAAATTGTGTTTATTTATGTTTTATGTTTATGCCACATGACTTGCGTCACTGGTTCGTAATTTGTGCCAAGCAACAGGAGCTTGTCGTACAAGGCGACGGAAGAGACTGGTGACAAGTCTCCGTCATATAGCTAGGATATTTGTTGGGTGCGGGGATGTGGTGGAGTGTGAGTGGGGGGTGGGTGTGGTTGAGGTGGGGTTAAATATATACACACAAAAAATAAGAAATTGGTTAGCGAAGAACCATGGATAAGTGAGAAAAATATCCAAGATTCTGGTTTAAGTACCGAACTGTGGTAGATGTAAGTCCATGTGTAATTGTGGAATTACCGTATTCGTAACGTTACGAACGCTTTTCGAAGGGGTCGTCATGCTAGTGTGTTCAAACAGAAGGAATCATGTCTTAGACACGGAGGCCTCGTTTCACGGAGCGATCGTAAACTGTCATAAGGCGAGGTTCTAATATCGTTCAAATATCGTCTGACGACCCAGGGTATCGGTCCACAAAGCGATCATAGCATAACACTTTTCACCTTACCCTACAGCTAAGATCGTTTTGTGGAACGGGTCCAAGGACCCCTTTCCCGAAGGCGGTCGTAAGTACACGCTACATGCTTGGAGTAACAACAACATTTCGCCCTCTCTGAAACCACTAGCAGGCTATAGTTTAAATAACTAAACACTACTGTAGAAAAACGATTTGTAAGCACATTGACCGTGTTGGTACTTGGTCATAACTATGCTGACGGATGTGTCGAACTTTTCCCTTGGTCGCGACGTGTTCGACACTACGGGGTTTGACTGTACATAGTGTAATAACTTACAGTACACGCGGAAACATTTGGGACGAACATATTATTCCAAATCACAACCTGTGGATAATTGGGGCAATTCATTCAAAAATGCAAACGTAGAGCTACTATATGTATATGCAGCTGTTCTCATATCTAAAACTACGCCAGCTCTACTCCATCTACCTGTCATCAGTCTATTTTCATTTCAACATCCATCTGGACCTGAATATAATGTTACGTCAAACACTCTTTAATCTACAGTTGCGCGCACCTCAGACAGATCTTCCAGACAGTGGACAAGAACGGTGACGGCTATTTGACAACGGAAGAGCTATATGACGTCATCATGAACTCTGGCCGACCATTCCGGATGTCGATGGTTGAGGGTGTCGTAGAGAAACTGGACAAGAGTGGCGATGGACGCCTGAATTATGAAGAATTCCTTAACGTGATTGACTTGGCATAGAAGTGCGCCTTTAATAAGAACCGCATACCTACTGTGACGGTGTTAAACGGTGTTCATGTAATATATATGTGTAAAACAACGGTAGTTCTATTTTGTTTCCCTTACTTTTTGTGCGACATGTGTCTGGTATGGGTGTTTTATTTATCAGATTAAACCCTAATTAACACATGTACTGTAAGGATCATGTTCTGCTTGTTGTGGTCCGATATACTTATTATTGCATTAGTTTTCTAAGCGTCGATTTCACAGCACGCCAGATCAACCTTGCCAAGAACGTATTACAAAGGACGAGGTTAGATAACCCACTGGAGTGTCACATGATAATTTAAAGTTGCAGAATCCTTGATATATTTGTATGAAAAGGTCTTCAGTAACAGTTAGCTTTGTATTATTTGCTCCGCCCCGGATGTTCTGGAGCTATCATATCTGTCAATGTATACAAGAACAGTAACGCCAAAACGCTATCTGGTTGAAAACAGTCTGCAAAGATATACTCAGGAGCCAAAAACCCGTCAGTACGAATTCAAAATTAGATAGGCACTGTCATCAAATCATTAGAGAAATGGACATAATAAACGGTCAAAAACATTTTTTGTATACAATATCTTGACACATCAATGAAGAGCTCAGCACAATTCCAAGACATTACGTGAATGTTTGCAGTCCATTCAGACTCTTGATTTCAGTATCTAGTCTGACCACCACGAGCGGCAATAACTGCAGCATACACGTAATATGATTTTGTTAAAAATGCAGATTCTTGGGTGCAAAAATAAAACTTATCATATCTCGTGCTTGATATATGTCCTATAATGCTCCCAGTTCCTTCTAATTGCAGGACTTGTGAAGATCCGGATTATAATAATTATTGGTTTTCACCAACCCATGCTTGTCGTAAGAGGCATCAAACGGGTAAGGATGGTCTCGCTCGTTGACTTTGTTGACACAGGTCATTTTGTCCCAATTGCGGAAAGCAATGTTCATGATGTCAATCACTGGTTTGTCTGGTCCAGACTCAATCAATTACAGATAGCCGCCATATAGCTGGAGTATTGCTGAGTGCGGCGTAAAACAACAGACACACATTTTAATCGGTACAGTGAACAAAACAAGGAAAGCGCAGGTGTGAGAGTTCATAGTCGCAAGTTCATACGTCGTAATATTGGAAATGACATTTACTCTGCAGCTAGGTTAACTAGAGGTGTTGACTGACTGACTGACTGAGTTTGGTTTTACGCCGCTTTTAGCAATTTTCCAGCAACATCACGGCGGGGGACACCAGAAATTGGCTTCACACATTGTACCCATGTGGGGATTCGAACCCGGGTCTTCGGCGTGACGAGCCAACGCTTTAACCATTAGGCTACCCCACCGCCCTTAGAGGTGTTCATGGATATGACGGTTCTGGCGACGTGTTGTTACACGGGGTCGACCACTACGTGGCCGGTCATCAGTGCTGTTGGTGGCGTTGTATCGCTGTCTTAGACGTTCTATCGTTCGTACGCTGCAGTTGAAGTCATTAGCAATGACTCGAGCACGTTGTCAGCGTCTCGACGTCCAGTGGCTTGTTGTCGTTGATCTCTCGTTAACCTAGCCACAGCTGCTGTGTTCAGAAAACAAGTGAACGATTGCCATTCGAGCCGGCAATTTATGCCGGAATGCATGCATGATGTTGTGTTTGTGCGAACTTTTCCCTTTCCACAAACTAAAACATTTCACACCTCAGTCTCAAGGTGAGGTGAGGTGAAATTGGGTTTTACGTCGTGCTTGAGAATATTTCGCTCATATGACGACGTGCATGCGTGTGTATGTGTATGTGCGGCTGCTTGTACTAGCCCAGACTGAAGCTGGTTTTATAGTGCTAGCCCACTGAGATACCATGCCGCAGTGAAGCATGAATATCCCACTCAGACACATTATACTGACTCCGAGCCGACCAGTCCTTGTTGTACCCATTAATGCCGAGCGCCAGGCAGGGACCAACAAGTACCATATTTTAACGTCTTTTGGTATGGTGCGGTCGAGGATCGAACCCGCGACCTTCCGCTCTCCGGGCGGACGCTCTAACCACTACACCACGGAGGCGGTTTCAGTCTCAAACAATACTGTATTGGGCAATACGGGCTATATCAGCTATGTAGGCAACAATGCACAGTCAGTATATGTCTGCGCGATCATGATTGTTTACTTGTTTCCATGAGCTCCCACAACGGTGAATAGAGATTATACGTGTCTGTGTATACTTTTTCACATACTCAACGCACGTATTGTATTCTGTTTTCGCAACAGGCTGTAAACTTGCAGCGACAAGTTGGAGGTGAACTGCTGTGAATACAACCTCTTATCTTATAACCTCCTGTCACAAATAGCTATGTTCATATTTACTTTTGATCAATCGATTCTCAGAAAAGTGACAAAGTCCTTGATGAAACGTGCGGCGTCTGTTTGTTACTAAGTGTAGTTAATGTTGATATGGAATCTGATAAACTCCTCAGAGAGGAAAGGGAAATGTTCCATTGACAAGTTAGATATATGCATACTGAGATACAATTGAGATCCATCCGGGATTCGAACCCACATCCTCAGAGTCAGGAACCTAATTGCCAGCACACAAAGTCAGCCATCTAACCCACTCAGCCACAACAAAACTACTAGAATATGTACTGATAAAGTACTAGAGTAAGCTGTTCCGAGAAACTAATGCGTGGGTATACCGACTGTGTACGCCAACAGCAGTGACTTGTTTACCTGCACAACCAGGAAGTAAGATATATACATAGCAGACAACGACGAATTAGGCTGTCCTGTACAACAACGGTGAAACATAAGTCTGTCCAAGTCCGAGCGATGTCCAGTCTGTCTCAGAGGGAGAAGCTGCTGTACACCAGGTACTTCCACCAGGTGGACATCGATGGGAACGGTTACATCACCCTGGATGAACTGGATGCCTTGTGCAAAAAACTCAAGCTAGACTTGACTCGACAACAGATTGTGGTGAGTATCGACAAGAACATGTACATGAAGTCGACGGTGCTTTGACACAGCTGTGAATAACATTGTTATTTAAGGCTCCATAGCATTATATTGTCATTAAATATTATATCGTTAAATGCCGAGTAATGTTACCTCATCACTGTTTGTTATTCAGTAATGTTACATTCTTTCGGTTGGTGTTGTTGGTTTGTTGTTTAACGCCTCGCTCACCAGTGTATGCCAGCTATATGGCGGCGGTCTGTAAATAATCTAGCCTGGACCAGATAATCCAGTGATCAACGGTGTGAGCATCGATCTACACAATTTGGGATACGATGACATGTGCCAACCAAGTCAGCGAGCCTGACTATCCGATGCCGTTAGTCACCTCTTAATACAAGCATGGGTTACTGAAGACCAATTCTAACCTGGATCTTCATTGGTCCGTTATATCGTCAATGTTTATGACTCAATAATGCTATATCGTCATTAATCGAGACTGAATAATGTTATATCGTCATTGTTCCAGACTCAGTAATGTTATATTGTCATTGGCTGTGTCTCAGTAATGTTATATCGTCATTGTTCCAGGCTCAGAAATGGCATATCGTCATTGGCTGTGACTCAGTAATGTTATATCGTCATTGTTCCACACGCAGTAATGTTATATCGTCATTGGCTGTGACTCAATAATGTTATATCGTCATTGGCTGTGACTCAATAATGTTATATCGCCATTGTTCCACACTCAGTAATGTTATATCGTCATTGGCTGTGACTCAATAATGTTATATCGTCATTGGCTGTGACTCAATAATGTTATATCGTCATTGTTCCACACTCAGTAATGTTATATCGTCATTGGCTGTGACTCAATAATGTTATATCGTCATTGGCTGTGTCTCAGTAATGTTATATCGTCATTGTTCCAGGCTCAGAAATGGTATATCGTCATTGGCTGTGACTCAGTAATGTTATATCGTCATTGTTCCACACTCAGTAATGTTATATCGTCATTGTTTCTGACTCAGTAATGACTCAATAATGTTATATCGTCATTGGCTGTGACTCAATAATGTTATATCGTCATTGTTCCAGACTGGTAATGTGATTGGCTGTGACTCAATAATGTTATATCGTCATTGTTCCACACTCAGTAATGTTATATCGTCATTGGCTGTGACTCAATAATGTTATATCGTCATTGGCTGTGACTCAATAATGTTATATCGTCATTGTTCCAGACTGGTAATGTGATTGGCTGTGACTCAATAATGTTATATCGTCATTGTTCCACACTCAGTAATGTTATATCGTCATTGGCTGTGACTCAATAATGTTATATCGTCATTGGCTGTGACTCAATAATGTTATATCGTCATTGTTCCAGACGTCATTGGCTGTGACTCAATAATGGTAATGTGATTGGCTGTGACTCAATAATGTTATATCGTCATTGTTCCACACTCAGTAATGTTATATCGTCATTGGCTGTGACTCAATAATGTTATATCGTCATTGTTCCAGACTCGGTAATGTTATATTGTCATTGGCTGTGACTCAATAATGTTATATCGTCATTGTTCCAGACTCAGTAATGTTATATCGTCATTGTTCCAGACTCAGTAATGTTATATCGTCATTGGCTGTGACTCAATAATGTTATATCGTCATTGGCTGTGACTCAATAATGTTATATCGTCATTGTTCCACACTCAGTAATGTTATATCGTCATTGGCTGTGACTCAATAATGTTATATCGTCATTGGCTGTGACTCAATAATGTTATATCGTCATTGTTCCAGACTGGTAATGTGATATGGCTGTGACTCAATAATGTTATATCGTCATTGTTCCAGACTGTTAATGTGATTGGCTGTGACTCAATAATGTTATATCATCATTGTTCCAGACTGGTAATGTGATTGGCTGTGACTCAATAATGTTATATCGTCATTGTTCCACACTCAGTAATGTTATATTGTCATTGGCTGTGACTCAATAATGTTATATCGTCATTGTTCCAGACTCAGTAATGTTATATCGTCATTGGCTGTGACTCAATAATGTTATATCGTCATTGGCTGTGTCTCAATAATGTTATATCGTCATTGTTCCAGACTCAGTAATGTTATATCGTCATTGGCTGTGACTCAATAATGTTATATCGTCATTGGCTGTGACTCAATAATGTTATATCGTCATTGTTCCACACTCAGTAATGTTATGTCGTCATTGGCTGTGACTCAATAATGTTATATCGTCATTGGCTGTGACTCAATAATGTTATATCGTCATTGTTCCAGACTGGTAATGTGATTGGCTGTGACTCAATAATGTTATATCGTCATTGTTCCACACTCAGTAATGTTATATCGTCAGTGGCTGTGACTCAATAATGTTATATCGTCATTGGCTGTGACTCAATAATGTTATCTCATCATTGTTCCAGACTAATGTTATATCGTCATTGGCTGTGACTCAATAATGTTATATCGTCATTGGTTCTCATTGTTCCAGACTCAGTAATGTTATATCGTCATTGGTAACTGGTAATGTGATTGGCTGTGACTCAATAATGTTATATCGTCATTGTTCCACACTCAGTAATGTTATATCGTCATTGGCTGTGACTCAATAATGTTATATCGTCATTGGCTGTGACTCAATAATGTTATCTCATCATTGTTCCAGACTGGTAATGTGATTGGCTGTGACTCAATAATGTTATCTCATCATTGTTCCAGACTGGTAAACCCGTGAAGGTCCGGGTTAGTATTGATCTTTATTACCCACGTTGTCAACGTATGGGTAGTTGCATACTAATCTCGTACATCACACGAGTGCCGTATCGCGTTGACCTGTGATGTAACGACTTGACCTGCGCTTCTAACGATTTGATTGGATAACCGATGTCCTCTCAGTTAGGTCACGTGGTGACGGAACTACTTTTTCATTCATAACAAACACGTGAATTCATTCATTCTACAACTTAAATGGATTGTGGGAATGGAAACATTGCGAACGTTGCCGTGTCGCTGTTTAATTGGGAGTCAACTGAGACATTATTTGTGTGGAACTAAGAAACGGGGTGCTACGGAGTAGTTTAATTAGGAGATAAACATCATGTGTTGGCCAATTTCCGGGTGTTATTTAGGAGATAAACATCATGTGTTGGCCAATTTTCGGGTGTTATTTAGGAGATAAACATCATGTGTTGGCCAATTTCCGGGTGTTATTTAGGAGATAAACAGCATGTGTTGGCGAATTTCCGGGTGTTATTGAGTATTTGAAGCACGGGAATTCATTTGGAACCGATGGCGTCAGCCGGAGGTTTCAAATGAAATATTCCCGTGCTTCAAATACTCAATAACACCCGGAAATTGGCCAACACATGATGTTTATCGACATTGTAAACACAAAAGTAAACCGAAAGGTCCACACACGTTTTTGTGTCTGCACTCATTGACATCGAGTACGGGTACAGCAGTGAAATGTCATCAGCCGGCCGTTTCGGCTGTCTCTCATGGTGGCATATGGAACTGCTCATTTGTGACGTCATTCGGACTTTACGTTACAATCTGATTTGAATGGCGTAATCACAGCTGACGACGTAACAATACAATGGTGTGAGCGATGTTTGTATGTATTAATACGCAGCGAATTTCCGGGAATCGAATACCATGATTTGATCTATTTTCAACCAGTCAGATTAAAGAACACAGTGACTTTTGGTTTACAATGTAGGAGGCTGTACGAGACGATGACAACTGACTTGCATCGTGACGTCGGTTACCAAGGGGGCAGGCGAGCAAGGCGTAGTGACGTCATTACAGTGTGACGTCATGCAAAAAGTGTACTACAGAACAACATTCTTCCGCAACCTCTTTATGAAACCGGTTTTGGTTTGAAACCATAAAAATAGCAAAAATACGCTATTTTGTCAATTTAAAGCATGTAAGACGTGGGTAATAAATACAATACCACACTCGGTCTCATAACATACGAATTATACGAAACTCGTGACCTTCCTATGGTCAGTTACCATAGGAAGGACACTCGTTTCGTATAATTCGTATGTTATGAGACCTCGTGTAGTATTCTCTATTTAGTAACCCATGCTTGTCGTAAGAGGCGACTAACGGGATCGGGTGGTCAGGCTCGCTGACTTGGTTGACACATGTCATCGGTTCCCAATTGCGTAGATCGATGCTCATGCTGTTGATCACTGGATTGTCTGGTCTAGACTCGATTATTTACAGACCGCCGTCATATAGTTGGAAGATTGCTGAGTGCGGCATAAAACTAAAGTCACTCACTCACTCAACACTGGTAATGTTATATCGCCATTGTTCCAGACTCAGTAATGTTATATCGTCATTGTCTGCGACTCAGTAATGTTATATCGTCATTGTCTGCGACTCAGTAATGTTATATCGTCATTGTTCCAGACTCAGTAATGTTATATCGTCATTGTCTGCGACTCAGTAATGTTATATCGTCATTGTCTGCGACTCAGTAATGTTATATCATCATTGTTCCAGACTCAGTAATGTTATATCGTCATTGTCTGCGACTCAGTAATGTTATATCATCATTGTTCCGACTCAGTAATGTTATATCATCATTGGTACAGTAAATGTAGTATGATCATTACATGTGTCTCAGTCATTGTTTGTGACTCATTAATGTTTTCTCGTGATTGTTCCAGACACATTATCGTTATATTATCAAAGCATCACACCCTGCATGGTTCATTATAAGACATAATCTCACCTATAAAACACCCTAATCCGGAATTGCATGATCCTAAGTACGTCTATACTAATAGCATCATGCCACCCACCAGTATGTTGGCGATATGCACTGGGAGATAGATAACCTTGGCAGAATTCGTTCATCAGACCCACACAATGTTAACCAGTAAACCTTTTCCTTTCACAGGACGTGTTCATGCGCATGGACACCGACGACAACTTGATCATTACCTTAAATGAATTCCTGGCCGCTATGCCAAAGATTGAAAGTGAACAACTCTCGTGAGTACCCATAAATCTGACATATATGATATAGCCCCGGTGAGCTGCATGGGTGGAGGCCTGTGTATTGCTTGTGTGATATAGATCGTCATAGCCAGAGAAAACAACAGTCTTTATTGCACGACGAGACAAATTCTATTGTCAGTAAAAGGCAAGAAAGCCATGGCGATTATACATTAGCAGAAAAAAACTAGCTTCGTATAAAGTGATAATATTGAAAAAACAACATAATATTATATCATGCGAAGGATCAGTGTTTTACCATGCAATCATTCATTGACATGCCTGGTAACAGGAGACGTCGCGCCCTAAAGGGGGTTGTGTAACAACTGCAAGAAGAACCGCCATGTAGCTGGAACATTGCTGAGTGCGGCGTTAATTTAAACAACAAAAACTTCGAACCATAAATGACGTCAATATTGTTGTGATGCCAACTTGTGTTGGTACAGTCGAGGCAGCAGCACGGCACTGAAGACACCAGATGAAGGATGTCGTTCAACACATCAGCAGGAGTCAGCATATACTCCGAAACGATGTGACTCAAGATACAAAAAAGAAGCTCACATCTATAATTTCTTTCCCTGATGTGTATCACTTCTAGATGCCACTCAAAGACTTAATTCAATTTTCATTAACGTGTATATTGAACACAGTTAGCTCTTACACGGAGTGTTGTTCGCGGAAGGAGTAAGCTTGTCTTCATAATGAGTTTGTTTTATACATAAGGAAATAAAGTCAAACTTTCAAAATCAAGTTCTCCTTTTCAACAATTACCTTCTTTACATAAGGTATGGATTTTATTTAATTTAATTTCAGATTACATGTGTACAACTGCATGAACAAGAAGGTTGTATTCACAGTGTTAACATTTCAGGTATGGTGAGATGAGGTGGGCATTTGACCACATGGACACAGATGGCAGCGGTCTGCTTGACGCTGACGAGCTGAAGGAAGTGCTGATCACATGTGGACGTTCATTGCCGTTATCGCAAGTGAAGAATCTCATTGCCAAAGTTGACGTCGACGGTGACGGGAAATTAAACTTCGATGAATTTGTGACTCTGTTTGGCTAGGACTACGTCCTCCATGTAACGGGCGCAGGTCTTCGACGTACGTCTACGTTGAGTCTTGGGAGTTACTAAAGCCTTAGGAACTAGGCCCTGGCAATATAGGGACTTGCATGCATATGAGGTGATCACCAAACTCTGATCGAACCATACACGATATACCATCATCAGTAGGTGCAGATCCAGCTAGTACAGCATAAAAAGCCATGCATATTTCAGCAGCAATTGTTCCGGGATTAAACGAGTGTGCAAACAATTCCTCTGAGCACCATAAATTTGCATCATTACAAACGCTATCTCGATTTTATAGAAATCAATACGGTGTAGTATTTGATTACTGAAATGTTTTTTTTTTGTATTTAGATATGTTCATAGCATTTAGAAAGGTATTATTTAATTCATTGTGTTAAAGTATTGGAATGCTGAAATTGTTTTCTATATGTATTCGGATATGTTCATATCACTTAGAAAGGTATTATGGAATTCAAAGTGTTACAGTATTGGAATACTGAAATTTTATTTTCTAAATGTACTGGGATATGTTTATGTTACATAGAAAGGAAAGAAAGCCAACATTATTATGTCCTGTTCAATAATCCCGCTGTATACAGACTGATAATCAATCAAATAATTTAGATGCAACCTAATCAGGGCCTCGTTCCACAAAACAATCGTAGCGCTACGACAGTCGTACGTCTATGTTAAAGTATGGGAGTTACGATCATCTTAGGGTTACGGTTGCTTTGTGGAATGGGTCCCTGGTCATTATGCATAATGTGATAAGTATGCATGATATATGCTTTGAAAACCAAATGCTTATCAGTGAGTGAGTGAGTATGGTTTAACGCGGCTTTTAGCAATATTCCAGCAATATCACGGCAGCGATCACCAGAAATGGGCCTGACACATTCTATCCATGTGGGAAATCGAACCGGTGTTTTGGGCGTGACGAGAGAACGCTGTAACCACTAGGCTACCCACCGTCAAGCTGTGGCACGACGGCGGTATCCAGTACGTTCTGTTGATAACGCTGACCATTAAGTGTCCAGGGTTTTATAATGAGGCCCAACTTGAAGTCAAACGAAACAAAACCCCACACTATCACTGTGCCACCACCAAAGGGTTCAGCTGTATGGATCATCTCCTGATGATATGCCTCGTTACGACGTCTCCGTACCATAAACGAACATCGGTAACGTGTGGACTCCGTGTACGCCATGTCCTCAATTACTGTTGTCTCGGAGCCTGCACCACGTCACACATTCCTGCTTGTGTCTGTCTGGAAGAAGAGATGTCTGGCCGGACGACGTTCCCTTACACCAGTTGCGGACGCCTCCTTTCGATTGCCCTGGTTGAGAGTTGGACTCAGTTCTTCGGTATGGGCCATAGGATTGCGACTTGCTAGACGATCCGGTTGCGCTGGGAAGTGTATGTAGAGCGCGTCCTGTTGGATGTTTCAGCATGAGAGGTGTAGGATGTGTGTGGTATGTCGGGTGTGTGTAGGTTATGTGTTTTGTATGCATAGAGGTGTGTGTGTGTGTGTGGGGTATGTGTGTGTGTGTGTAATCAGGGTATGTGCGGGTTGTATGGCGTGTGGGAGAGGGCGGGGGGATTGTGGCTATAATATGTGGGCTGAGTGCATGTGTGTGTTGTGTTATTTGTTCCTCTCTCTCTCTCTCTCTCTCTCTCTCTCTCTCTCTCTCTCTCTCTCTCTCTCTCTCTCTCTCACTCTCTCTCTCCAGTAGCCATAGAACCGTAAAGGACGCAACCCTACCAAATGAATCAAGGTAGGAACACATCATAACCTTTTATCCATTCTTGACCTTTGACATTTGACATCTACATGACGAAATCATGTCCTTCTATGCCGTTGTGATTTCATTCCAACTGGTGAAAGAAAATAGTTGTAGAAGTGAACACAGAAGACATTCTCACATTTCGCACTGGTCGGCAGAAGGATTAAACTAACGAATGTAATGTATACAGCCCCGTAGTGCAAACTCAGAAGCGTTTGGCAAACCAAGGTAAAATGACAGAAAAATATTTTCCTTTCAAGGCTGCACGACCGCTTCATTGTATGTAGACGTCCAGCTTAGCCTCAGATTGTATTTACATGAGGTAGTTCAAATATTGTTCATTTGTTGCTATGAGTGAGAAAGGACAGTGGTCGACTCGAGACTCGAGAATGATAATTGTCACAGTGTGCTACCAGCGGGAGTAAAGTTTGAGGCAGTTTAAGAGAACTTGGAAAGTATGAGCCATTTGACACAGGCTGAGAGAGAGAGTTACACAAAGTTCTTTCTCGGTGTTGACTCTAATGGTGACGGCTATCTCAACAAAACAGAATTCAAATGTCTCTGCGAGAAGCTAGGATTTCGACTTAAACCTTCAAAACTGAAAGTGAGTATCTTCGACAGATATTACCATCACATCACCTTGTTATATACGCATTTCTGTAAAGTTCAAAAGACGGGAACACTACAACCAATGCGAATGCGTGTATTCGTGTGTGTGTATGTGTGTGCGTGTGTGTGTGTGTGTGTGTGTGTGTGTGTGTGTGTGTGTGTGTGTGTGCGTGAGAGAGAGAGAGTACGTGTGAGTCTGAGAGAGATTGTGTGAGTTTGAGTGCACGAGAGTGAGTATATGGGAGTGTGTCTGTCTCAGCCTCGCTCCCCCCCCACCCCCTCTCTCTCTCTCTCTGGCTTTCGGCTATTCTCTGAAACAGACTCAACTGGGGATAAATGGCAAAATAGGGGGAATCGCATGCATGGATCAGTGGAAAACAGCGGAGACAGACCTTTATATTGTAGACATATATGCTTTAAGTACCTTATTATTCTGTTGGTGTTGTAAAATACATTAGAAAAATGCTTTCATTCGTATATGTCAATCTTTCAATTTCCATAGAGTTCGACTGCAGCTGAAATTATGCAGATTTGAGCGTAACACAACATGCAACCATTCTTGATGCGAGCGAGTTTGAAGATTGAGCATTTACATAATGATAGACGTACCCAACATGGCTCGGAGTGAAGCTGAACACCATCTACCGTTATATTGCAGGAGATGTTTCATGGTGTGGACACCGACAATAACGATAAAATAACGCTGGATGAATTCCTCGCCACTATGCCTGGTATCTCGACGGTCGAGAGGAAGTAAGTACGTGAACTTGTGGCTGTACAGACTAATATTTAGTCTCATTTAGTCTTTGAAGTAAAATAAAAAGACATTACAGGAAGAACATTTGAAAAATTATCGTGTTTAATGTAACAAAAAGCACTCCAAAGAGTATCGCAACACTTTTGAGGTAGTGAATTTACATAGGCTGGGGGACCCCTGAACCCCGCCCCTGGATCCGCCAATGGTTTAATTTTACGCCACACTCAGCAATATTCCATCTATATTGCGGCGATCCCATTAGTATGGTGGCTCATTCGGGCCATCGCTTTATCGCCCTGAAGAAATCTAGGCGATATCGCGACAAAGCGATAGTACGACACGATATTGCGATTTCGCATTATCGCAATTTCGCTTTATCGCAGTATCGCTATATCGTCATATCGTTATGTCGCACTATCTGCGTGTCGCCTGTTTATATCGCATTATCGCCGTATCGCTATATCGCAATATCGCTGTTTCGCCATTTCGTGTCGTGTTATCGCCATTTCGTGTCTTGTTATCGCCATTTCGTGTCGTGTTATCGCCATTTCGTGTCGTGTTATCGCAATGTCGTGTCGAGTTATCGCAATGTCGTGTCTTGCTATCGCCATATCGTGTCTTGCTATCGCCATATCGTGTCGTGTTATCGCTATTTCGTTTTTTGGGCTGTATCGCAATATCGATATATCGTGTCGCCATATCGCAATATCGTGTCGTGCTATCGCTTTGTCGCAATATCGCCTAGATTTTTCAGGGCGATAAAGCGATGGCCCGAATGAGCCACCATACATTAGTGAGGTGAGGTGAAATTGGGTTTAACGTCGTACTTGAGAATATTTCGCTCATATGACGACGTGCATGCGTGTGTATGTGTATGTACGGCTGCTTGTACTAGCCCAGACTTTAGCTGGTTTTATAGTGCTAGCCCACTGAGATACCATGCCGCAGTGAAGCATGAATACCCCACTCAGACACATTATACTGACTCCGAGCCGACCAGTCCTTGTTGTACCCATTAAAGCCGAGCGCTAGGCAGGGACCAACAAGTACCATATTTTAACGTCTTTTGGTATGACGCAGTCGGGGATCGAACCCGCGACCTTCCGCTCTCCAGGCGGACGCTCTAACCACTACACCACGGAGGCGGTCGCGATCCCATTAGTCGCCTCTTACGACAAACATGGGTTACTGAAGATCAATTTTACCCGCATCTTCAAGGGTATGTCTATATTCATGTCATAATTTTGTTTGTTTGTATGGTTAGTTTGACCCTTCGGAAGCACCATACATCTATTCTAGACATGCCCGTGCTACAATCAAAGGCGAGCATCACAGGCACAAGTGTACCCAACATCAGAATAACATGGGATTTAAACAGTATTAGTCTCAATCAGCTTTCAATTTGTGCCGACAAATATCCAAACAGATCCAGCCTATAGTGTCAGCTGTTGAGGCAGAATCAAACTATGCTTGCTCTAACGTTCACCGCTGAAGGTACAACATTACGGTCTTTGTAAATCTTCTAAACCGTTTATGGTAGACAATTGATGCATCGGTGACAAAAGGTATGTCTTCAGTTTTCAGACCAAACTTCAGCACATTGCCCTCATATTTAGTAACAATTTTCAGGGGCGTAGATACCATTATAAAAAAAACCCGGGCTTACACATGATTGCTGCTAAAAAGGTTGGGCAAGCCTTCAATACAATCAAAATATAAAGCTGTGAAACCTATCGGGCTTACACGAAAAAATTGGCTTGCTACGCGCCTGATTTTCGATTGTATGTGAAACCATTGAAAAGGTTGCATTCCTCAGATGGACAATTGAGAAAGGTGCATTCCTCAGCTGGACAAATGAGAAAGTTGCGTCCCTCAACTGAACAATTGAAAAGATTGCGTCTCTCGGCTGAACAATTGAAAATATTGCGTCCTTCAGCTGGACAATTGAAAAAGTTGCGTCTCTCAGATGCACAATTGAGAAAGTTGCGTCCCAAATCTTGACAATTGAAAAGATTGCGATCTTCAGCTAAACAATTGAAAAAAATGCATCCTTGAACTGAACATTTGAACAGGTTGCGTCCCTCAGCCGAACAATTGAAAAAGTTGAGTTCTTCAGCTGAACAATTGAAAAGGTCACGTTCTTCATTTGAACAATTGAAAAGGTTGGTGTCCCTCAACTGAACGCTGCAGTTGACTGACTGTTCAGCTGTCTACGTTGCCGAATTTGAGGCGGCGTCGAACCAAACTCACTCACATTTGTTACGTAAATACTGAAATGAGTCACTTTACTCCCCCAGGTGTGCCAACTTACGGCAGGTGTTCATCGCGGCGGACATCAACGAAGACGGTGTGCTGAGCTGCCAGGAACTACGCGAGGCTGTACGTTCAGTTGGGTCAGCTTTGCAGCCAAGTGACATAGATACCTTGCTGGCTCGACTGGACAAGGATGGAGAAGGGAAGCTTAGCTACGAACAGTTTCTTGAACATTTTAGCAAACAGAAGAAAGTTTGAAACATTAAACTTACTATTCTGTTTTAAAATGGACAATCGTCTTTTTTGTTTAGATTATCATCACCCTCAGAGTTCTTGTCAGCTTTTATACAAATGGAAACATTGGTCAAATTCACGACATGCCAGAGAATAATTAATTAAGTTTATTCCCAGATACAAATTCTATAGGGCATGATAATGATGAGATGTCCCCGTAATTATCCTAAAGAGCCCAGGAATGACACCAGGTCTTCACCCAAGCTAAGCTTGTCCTGCTGCTTGCAAAGCTTTCATTTATTGTTTGTTGTTTTACGCCGCACATAGGAATATTACAGCAAGACGTTACAGGATGGTTGTTACCTTGCCTGGACGGCTCTGAGTCACTATAAAGTATCCGAGTGGGGTATGTACATTGTAGGAACAGCGCAACACACACAGTGCAACAATCTGAGAAGCGACGCCCCATCTCACCTCACCTCACGAACTAATGAATGTGTTCCACAATTATCATAATACGCTGTAGCGTCAGTAATTAAGAAACGAAAATTCACGGAGTCATCCAAAATACAATTAATATATCCCACTGGCACCGATAAGTTGTTAATTTGAATTTAATCACGGATGTCCGATGATATTAGAATCAGTGTATTGTGGCAGAATATAGGCTTGATTATGTGTTTATTTCGTAAGGGGGCCACAGGCCCATGATACAGATATTGTGGTACATATGTTTGTTGTATACAGATAGCTTGAAATGATGGCTCGCAATAATAATAAATGTATTTATACATGAATGACAGCTTTTGCAAAATAAATGCATTAGAAATGTTTATCTAAGAGGGACATCTTTAAAGAACATTTGTCTTTTCTTGGCTGCTAAAATAAGAAATTTAAAGAGATTTCTTACGATTGCACCTTTTGAGAGAAATAATGCTGGCATCTTGTCCGAAGTTGGATATTCCCAGTAATATTTTGGAAGAAGTGTATATCTTACGTTATGATAAAATGGGCACTTTAAACAAAAATGGGACTCTGATTCAAGTTTGGGATACAGAATACAGAATGGACGTAATCTTTGTGACTATTCCACCTCCTGCCCAATTCCATTAATATCATGATTTGAACAACAAATTCGGATGAAATTTGTAATATAAACTTTAACTGTTACAGTTTCGAGTATCTTTGAGTAACTAAATTGATTATTAAGAGTTCTGTAGAAATCCAACTTCGCGAAACCCTCTGAATCTACACTACAGCAATGCTGCTTCATATCAATACACCTTTCCTTAAACTGAGAGATAAATAAAACACTATTTCCTACACCTTGTTGCAGCCAAACTACACCCAAATCATAACTGAATAATAATGATTTAACGTTTAATTCCCCAAAAGACTTGCCATTTTCAGCTTTTCAATATTGAAAATTGTAGGAGTGCTTCCAAATCACATTGTCGGCTTGCCACAGTAACCTTAACCAAAACTTGATTATTTTGACATATTGAAAAACTGTAACATTAGGCCTACCTAAAATACCCCGAGCTAACAACATTGGAGTACCTCTATTTAACGATAACATTAATTTACAAAATCTATCATGAATACCTTCAATATCAGGCGTGGAGTGAAATCCCCAAACTTCGGAGCCGTAAGTAAGAATAGGAAGAACTTTAGTATCGAAAATATGCTCGGCAACATCATGCGGAAGAAGAGAGAATTTACCTAATTTTGACATTAGCAACTGCAATACCTTCCAAGCCTGTTGGGCCCGAGGTTTCTGGGTTAAAAACCAAGACGATCCTGACGATGACAACTGGACACCTAAATATTTATAACATCCAACCACTTCCATTTTGGAGGCACTCAACCAAAACTTTTCACATGAGCGTAATGTACCCTCGTTACGGAAGACCATAACTTTACTTTTAGCAGTATTGATTGCTAGTTTCCATTTATCACAATATTCTGATAATAATTATGACCTTTTCTGCAACACTTATATCCATAACTGCAATGTCGTCAGCAAATAGAAGAATAAATGTAACAAGTACAAAACAAGTGTGTAACAAATACAAGTGTGTAACAAGTACAAAATATACAAATTGTAAAATGTTCTGGAAAAGCAATCTATTTTAACATGTCTTGTCTTATGTTTCTGTTTGGAATCAGTTCATAACACCTTAAACAATAATACAATTGTCAGTGAAAAGGTTTACATTTTCACAAGTCAATGATTTATTTATAGTCACCACTGGGTCATGGGTCAAAAGTAGTTGCAAAGTATGCAAAGTAGCCAAGTCTTAAGGAGGTCAGGTCTGCTGTCTTGTCCTTGGTTTTTACTGGCTGGAGATGTGCAGCATCTTGATTGGATGTTGAATTTAGTTGCATTTGGAAAGTGTGAAGTTTGTTCACTTGCTGTCTTTCTCCCAACCTGGCAAGGTGGTTTGAAAGTCATGGATGGAGGATTGTGACTTTGGTGAATTACAGGTTAGTTACACTTGGTTTTATATAAAAGGAATAAACTACAAAAATATGTTAAATTGTTGAAAGGTTTATTCAGTATTTATTATAGCTGATTTTATGCATTTGGTGGCGGTATATTTTGACATATGGTTAGAAATTGTTGGTGTCAATAATTTCACTTACAATTGATTCAGATTAATGTTTGAGTCCAAACAGATTGTACGTTTACTTTATTGGTGAGAATTAGCATTTCCATGCTAATTAAGGCATACATATTTTAGGTCCTTGGTTGGTGTTTTGTTGGTGCCTCACAACATGTGGCCAGTTTGAAACAAGTTGTCCCATAGATGGTAAGACACGTTGATGTTTCATTTTTGTTTTTAAGATGTCATATGTGTTTCATAATTGCACTTCTAAGAATCTCAATATGTAACTGAACTATTGATTTTGTGATGTCAATTTGTTTTGAGGTCTTTTTATATGTTCAGTGGTAGAGCTGTGATTGTTAATTATCTGAACAATGTGCAATGAAATGAATGTGATGGAATAGATATTTTGATGGAGAATTATATATTCATATACATTGTTTCAGACTTGTATTATTTATACAAACTACAGTAATAAACAAGGAACTTGCAGCCTCAACGGAGTTGTGAAAGAGCCATCCCCGTTACATAAATATTTCCAAGAATGCCAAAGTTACACCATGTTGTCCCTCATAAGACAAATGCTCGACAAGCTCATTGATGAAAAGAGAAAACAGCATCGGGGACATCTGACTGCCTTGTCTTACTCTCGTACTACCCTGAAAAAAGCTAGAGTAACCACCAGGAAGAGATATACATGTCTGGACACTTTGATAAATATTTCTAATATTCCTAAATACATTTCCTTTAACACCACCATTCCAGAGCTTAAATAATAAACCTTTACGGTAGACTGAATCAAAGGCAGCTTTTAAATTACTTTAAGGCACATTAAAATCTACCACGCAGAATATAGAGAAACCTGTGAACAATTGAAAGAGGCGCCTTGGCCTCATTCCAGCTTGTTTGAATGAATTCCTGAGGTTTTTAGGAATTGATAAATCGTTGCAAAGAATGAAAAACAGTATGATTTATAAATGTTGCCTGGTTACAAACGTGCTTGTCGAAACATACCTTGTAAATAATTAAAAAAAACATGGAGTGTTATTTTCAATATTCCATCAGGTAGAATACTAATGAAAACATGTAGGCAATCAGACATGGAAGGAAGGAGCTACGCTTTACTGTATTTTGTTCCTTTCCAACTCGTATGTTCCTTAAAAGAGCTAATCACTCTCCCAGGTATTACAGGAATTACACACACCTGTCCAGAGAATTTCTTTACGTCCAACTACGCTGACACCTATCTTCAGTGTCTACAACACTGCTGGGCGACCACGCGATGTACAGCTTGTACATGGATTCCAAGATCCTCTGTCTGTCGACTTCACGACGGTGAATACTCCGTGCCGTCTCCGGTGAATACCAGCTGTATCTTCACAGAAGCATCGACACCACGTATTGTAAGTTATATGTGTTCTTTCTTCACATAAGGGGGTACATTGCTCGGGAAGTAACAAAGGTCTCCAGGATCCTTGTAAGTAACCACCGTGGTTCGGATGATGACGTTCGTGAATGCTCGTTGTGTCAATACGATGTCCCAGGTCCACAGTCTATTATTTCCCGGCTGCTGTCATGTTGGTAGAATAGTATTTAGCGCAGCAGAAGACTAAATAAATATTTCGTTCGCCGAAGATCCGGGTTCGAATCCCACATTGATTAAATGTGTGAAGTCCATTTCTGGTTTCCTCAGCCGTCATATTGCTGGAAAATTGCTAAAAGCGGCCTAAAACTAAACTCTCTTAGTATCACATTTAGTAAGTACCTCGTTTCGATTGAACAGTTCTGTTACCCAAGATATTCATACCAAGTGTCAAACTTAAAACACATAACCATGAATTAGCAGTTAAGAAAGGTCGATACATGGATATTTAGTAAAAAGGCTCTTTAAAATATCTATACAGATAGAGATATATTCATACGAATATTATAGCATCTACAAAGTTAACAGGGAGCATAGAAATATATTAAATAGGTCCACATTGAAGTTAAATTCCATCCACAACACTGACAACGCATTAAAATGAGGTAATTTAATTTAATAATTTAAGTATATGTCTCCAGCTGTGAATGTCATCTTTCATTTAAACCGATATTCATGGCAGACTTCATTCGACAATGAAGAGCCTCTCACATTAGCTTATTAACGCTCCTCTCACATTAGCTTATTAACGCTCCTCTCACATTAGCATATTAACGCTCTTCTCCAGCTGTACTGTTGGTGAAGTTTAGAACATGCAATCATCGATCGGAGGTTCATGTGGAATATTAATACTGAATTAGAACTACAGTTGTTATAACAAACACTGCTAATATTTTTAAAACCATGATGTAATATGACTGTCCTACCATTATCAAATCTTCACCGGGAAGTGCCTAATCTATACTTCTGGCATATGTTATATTTGGGATTACATTTTCTGAGTAAAGTACACATTCTAGTAGTTT